GCATCGGTTTTTTTTTTTTAGCTTTCTTTGTGAGTGTCGGTGTTTTGGAGGGAGCAATTGCGTGGGCAGAGCGGCCGGGAGGGGGGAGTGGTTCCCCCGCGGTCGTTAAAAAACGTCTCGGGTTTCGGGAGTCTGCTCGGACAGGTCCCTTCTTGCAGATGGTTGTGGCTTTTAGCCGAATGTGCCTGTATATAGAGGGTTTTGCCGTTTAGTGTAAAATTGTCGCTTTTTGCCCGATGCAATAACTTAGCGGTTGGCGCCAGTCAGACTGGGAAAATTGCAGAGAACAACTCTACAAGGAATTTAGGTTTGGCGGTTAGAGCGCCAGGATGACAGCTCGCCGACCATTGGTCGACAGTGTACCACGTGGGAGTGGTGAAATTTGAAGTGATTGGTCCATCTCTGGAGGGAAAGGAGGCCTCTACGAGGCTAGAAAAGGGCTGCCGAGAGGATTCTCGGGGAATTCGGCTCTTGAGACTGGGGACTAAAGTATGGGGTTTTAATTTTGGAAGTTTTGTATATTACCGTTGACTTGTCGTTTTGTTTTAAAAATAAACGTGGCCCCACTAGCCATCGTAAACCTACGAACGTCGGAATGTGTCCAGCGGGATCGAACAACTTTTAGTTTAGCTTTTTTTTTCTTATTCGACTTTCCGGGGGACTTGCATCGGGCGAACATCATCATCGGTCGTCACCATCCTGACCGGCCCCTCTCCCTTGGAAAGTTGACTACGATATTACCGCGATTTCGTGTACGAGAGTTTGCTAGACGTGTATTTATCTCGACTACAAGCGTTTCCACTTTTCGCAAGCATCTTGCCACCAACGATGGTCACTGCACTTGACGAGTGGCATCGCTGTCCCCATCGTAGAACGACTACGCGGTGTTCCCTTGGCGTGTGTTGCATATGCAGCTCAGCAGGGGGCTACAGCTGGCCGGATGTGGAACGACAGCACTGTGCATTGTGTATATAAAGGCCAACCCTAACCGGGGAGCGTGTGTGTACTTCATGTCAGCAGTTCAGCTGCAGTTGTTATAATAAACTGGTCCCAGACCAAGTATGGCCTTGTGCTTTCAATAGCGTGCTAGCTGTTTGCTTCCCCGACGCTGTCTCTAGCTCAGCTGTATGTCTGAACAAGTGATAATTTTTTCTGGCAGGGAAGAACAACTTTGTTTTTGGCCACTCGACTCAATATTACGGTATTTCAACAGGTTTTGATAAAGCGCGTAAAGTAAACAAAATGCCCGAGCATTGAAGTTATAGTGTGCTAGTTCATAAGCAAACACCACACCGTTCTTTTATATGGATATGTCACGAGGTAATAAATCTTTTCAAAAACGTGTTGTCCTCGGTCCAGCAGCAATTTCGGGATTTAGCGAGAGACCTCAAATGCTCGGACGGTTCCACAGAGCGCTACGTCATGGAGCAGTTCTTCGGCCGCCACCAGGAGAGCGCTTTAATGAAATAAGACGCCATTCCCGTGTTTCGGATAAGTTTGGTAAATGCTACAGGTTTAATTCGTCGTCTGCTGTCGTCGTCTGCTGGTGTTGACAACATCAATTCTAAATGCTTGAAAAATACGAAAATGTACAGTGCAATTATTTTATCCAAACTTTTTGAGCAGTCTTTGGAGCTTGGTTTCATCCCCGACGATTGGAAGATTGGGAAAGTGATTCCTTTGCATAAATCAGATGACAAACATTCTCCAACTAACTATCGTCCTATCTCAATTACTAGCACACCCTGTAAAATTCTTGAACATATCATATACTCTCACCTTGCTAATTTTTTAGAGTCTAACTCTTGCTTCTGTAATGCTGAACATGGCTTCCGGAAATCATTTTCTTGCGAGACTCAGCTCTTGTGTTTCACCCACGACCTTCATTCCATACTTGACCGGGGCTCTCAGGTAGACTCTATTTTCCTAGATTTTTCTAAAGCCTTCGACAAGGTCCATCACTCCCTCCTTTTTCAAAAGCTTATCAAACTTAATTTAGACCCTAACGTCGTTGCATGGCTACGCTCGTTTCTTACTAATCGATCGCAGTTTGTAACTGTCAATGATGTGAATTCCCAGCCTTCACCAGTCACTTCAGGTGTTCCCCAGGGGTCTGTTCTGGGGCCTTTCTTATTTCTTATCTATATTAACGACCTACCTAACAATGTATGTCCCTCTGCCAGTCTGTTTGCGGATGATTGTGTTATTTATCGTGAAATTACTAATGACTCTGACATATTTCTCCTTCAGTCTGATGCTAACTCTATCTCTGAATGGTGTAGCTTGTGGTGCATGAAATTAAATACTGCTAAATGTAAATACATGCGTGTGTCTCATCTTAACTCAACAAGTCCTGTTTACTTCATTGGTAACGTTCCTCTTGAGTATGTGCCATCTTACAAGTATCTGGGAGTGCACATAACTTCTGATTTATCCTGGAAAACTCATATTAAACATATCGCTAAAAATGCTAATCGCATGCTTGGATACCTTAAAAGAAACTTTTTTCTCGCGCCTATGTCATTGAAACTCATTCTTTACAAAACCCTTGTTCGCAGTAAGCTGGAATATGCTGCGTCTATCTGGGACCCCGGTCTTGAATCGCTTATGTCTGAATTAGAATCCGTCCAGAATCATGCGTTCCGCTTTCTTTCAAAGTACCATCGTACCGCCAGCGTAACCATAATAAAAACCAGCTTATCCTTGCCTAATCTTTCTATCCGTAGGAACGTGTTTCGCTTGTGTTTGTTCCACAAAATATATCATCATAATTCATCTCTCAAGCAAAGGCTTCTAACACAACCCCATTATCTTTCAGCACGGAACGATCATAGTTTCAAGGTAGGCATTCCATACTGCAGGACTAACGCATATCATCATTCTTTCATTCCCACTAAACAACAACAACAACCAGCACCTCTTTGTATTGGAATCACCTTCCCATGGATGTTGCCGAAATCCTGGACATTAAGAGTTTTAGAAAAGCCTTAACTAACATGTATTGCTTCACAGAACTATAATCCTTCTGCCGTTTTGCTGTTGTGTATTGTTTCTATGTGTTTTTTTAAACCCACTCCCCTCTGTAACGCCTTTGGCCCTGAGGGTAAAATAAATAAATAAAGAAATAAATAATTGGCTGTGCAGTAATTTTTGTACTTTCAGTAAATAATCCGCTTAGAACTAATCTTTGACGCTGATAACCTGCGGGACATGCATTAACTTTTCTCTCCACGCAAAGGCAGCCGCAGAAATAGAAATAAAATAAGCGGCGTCCACTTCCTTAACTCGCAAATAGAACAAGGGGCCACGTAGTCTGGTGCCGAATACATGCGGCCAATATCTGTCACAGCTACAGGCTGGGAATAGCAAAGCATAGGGCACGCACGGAGTAAGGCTGAGCTCCAGAGATTTTCTTAAAGCTCGGCTATGTTCATCTTTGATTGAAAGCGACCCGCGGCTCGAATGTTCGCCAGGCCTTTAGTTCTCATGAGCACGGGTCGAGTGCTCGGGCTCATGATATTTGAGTGGGCTCGTCACTCTTTACTCATGATGCAAAGTCCTGGAATCACGTTTTGTAACGGTGTCAGCGACGCTATAAGACCCAGTAACGTTGGGCGTAAAGCCGTCGTGCAGAGCGTCATGTCGTCACGCGTTACGATGGCATTACGCCGTGACGTAACGCGGCCACATCCCGTGGCGCCATAGTGCCACGAGACACTAAGTCACGTGACGTCACTCGATACCATGACTTGAAACCATGACGCCACGTGACTACGTCGCGTAATATCACGTGAGACGTGACGTCACACGATTACTCAAAGTGCTAACAAAAACACGCCATAAAATACCACCATTTCTCATACATTGCAATTTTTATATTACGATTTGACCGATAGAGAAAAATACAGCCGCTATTTGTTTTTCTATTATCAAATATTTAGTTGCAGGTATTAACGAAACAAAACAAAATATCGGGCAGAATGCTTTTGAACCTGTTACCATTAGCTTTTGTTCGGTTCAGCTCCGATTTAGCCTGAAGGTGGCGGCGACGACTTGGGTTTGTTTCCGGCTCGACGCGTTTCTCCAAATAATATTGGTTGCAGGGAACGGTTACAGGTGTTGAGGCACGCGCGCGGGTGCTCTCTCGCTGATATCGGTCTCTTCAACTGGCACCAATTCTGTTCTGGTGTGCTGTTCTGTGTTTCCAAAGCTGTGTGTGTCGATGTACAAGCAATCAACCAGAGCAGATGCTCGCTTGTCGACGTCAGCAATTGGGAGCTCATAAACAACTCCTGTTTTCATCGAGGGTACCGAGTGTTCTGAACCTGTGCTTCTGTTTTCGTCTACGGACGCCCCAAACGAAACGCGTCTTGTTTCCTTCCCCGATCGTGAGTCTGAGCTATTCGTATACAAAATAAGTGCTTCTTTGCTTGGTTTTGAAGACAACCAGTTGTGAGTGTTTTCATCAGTTCGTCCGACTCGCGGACTATCTTCTGGTTGTGAGCGCGCAAGTGTGGATTTTTTCGTCCGATTGTTTTGGGCGCAATATTTTGCGATACCCGGTCGCGTGCTTTTAAGTCCGCCGTGTAGTTGGATATATAGAGGACTTTAAGGAAAAAAACGCGCGTGCCAAAAAACTATTCGACAACAACATGAAAGTTGGAATGTGCAAAAATTCGTGTACTATATAGTATTATCCAAAACTATGTCTATTAGCTGCGCTGAAAAGGAACTATGGCTTCGTTTAAAGTATGTATACGATTTATGCACTATAAAATAAAAAACGCGTAATTTTTTCCTAGAATAATAAAAAGGACGTTGAACTAGCGTCATCTGTTCCAAATATTATGAAATATTTCGTTTGATTTTGCGACATGCCTTTAAACGTGCGGTGTCTTTTGTGGTACAAGCGCAATGCGATTAACATATTATGAATTCAGTCGACACTCAGTATTTTGTTTTTCTCCGTCTAGGTTATCTACTGACCCGCGGAAAAAAAGATGGCGCTTAAGGCACGGATCGAAAATGGTGTCGTCTTCTCCCCGTACCCGTCGCTACCCGTGCCGGAAATGTCGCTTTACCAGGTGGTCAAACATTGCCTCGAGCAACACGGGAACAGAACAGCTGTGGTAAGGTCATAAAGGGATGTTTTGATATATTGACGATTTTATATAAAATCGTGCCGGAAAAAGGGGTTATGCCTCAGAAATTTTTGAAAACCTATATATGGTGGGAAAATAATTTCATAAGACGAATCCGCAAACAGTTTTTGGGTCATATTTTTAGTTTTTCGAGTTTTTGCTTCTAAAGGATCAAAGGCGGATTTGGGAATTTAGGCGATCGTCACAGGCTCAGATAGCTTCTGCACAACAAAGAAACTTTGTACATGGCTTTCTGAAGATTTTTATGAAGGTTGTTTTTTGCTTGCAAATAGTTTAGAGTAGTCTTTTGGGAAGATAATTGACCAGGTTCGGATGATAATAAATCCGGTAGCAGTCGTCTTTATGACATACGTTATATATGTAATTAAAGCTGAAACAAGCACCTGTTCACACCGCACAATATTGTTATAGTAAAATAAAGTTATAGTGACGATATGCCCTTGAACGCAAAAATAAACTCTAAAAGTATAAATTTCGGCATTATTGTTTTCAAAAAGGACCTTTTGAAATATACTTTTTTTTTACATGAAGAGCCCTTGGCACGTTCTAAAACTTCCAATCAATTTTAGATGTAATATAGGGTTTCGACATATGTGTCTGTACATTTATTATTACGAAATGATAGAAGTTCTGTTTTAAGACCCGAAGCTTGGTCATCGTAATTTGTATGCGGATTAATTAATTAATCAATTAATTAGTCGCAGCTTATCAGAGTAATCGTTGGCTTCGATTTAACGCACAGTTAGATAAAACAAGGCTGATGCGTATGCGGGATGTTGTTTAATATATTAGGGTTTTCCTAAATATGCTCAACTTATTAATTAAAAATATTAAATCACAATTGTGCGGAATTGTAGAGTAAGTGGGTGAAACAAAACATGCTCGATGTTCCCTTAGCCAAAGTGTACAATTTTAGCTTTTTCCAACTTTTGCGTTTCACGTACACTGAACCTTCATTGGACTTGAAGCTTGCATAGACCTTGGGGAAGTATGCGGTGTCTGAAAGGCCGAGGCTGGGTCTAAAATGGGCACCTGCACGTAGCAGTCTAAGCCTTCCGTGAAATGTGTTTTTGACAGGTGGCTTTTATGTTGTATAATTGCAAGGCGTAGCTTCCTTTCTCTAAAAGATAGGGTCTGAAAACTTTCCAAGGTCAGCGGCGGACGGCGACGCAGACGGCCGAGTTGAGTGACAGTCGCGTTTGGAGCACGTATTGATAGATGGCGTCGGGAGCAGCGTCGAAGAGTGTAACCGATCAGCGAAAGAAAGCAGACGACATGCAGACGCAATCGTCGGCAGCAGGAGTGCCGTTGTTGTGCAATTGCGTTTTTTTATTTTGGTTACTTCAAGTTGCTCTAAGATGATTCCACGTCAGTTCATGGTCCGGGTCATAATTTTGATATATTTTTTTTAAAAATATGTATGAAAGCCATGTTCTTGGGAGGAACATTAAGCTATATATGAACGCCATAACAATTGTTTTCGCTGGGATATAAAGTCGAGAAGCTCGAGTCGTGGTAATCGAGAAGATTTCACGATGCTACTTTGCGCAGTCGTCATTTTCTCATCAAAGATTTCACGTCACCATAACTTTCTTAATACATTTTACAAAAGATATACACCATATACACAAAAAGTAAAAATATCAATAGATTATTTTTATGCAAACAAAACTGTCAAACATGGCATAAAAACGCGTTTCAGAGACATATTCACAATTTTTTCGCAAATAAACCATCTGTCATAATACTTAACAAAACATATCAAAATGCGCGTCTATAAATGTTCTTTAGAAATATATAGAGATAATAGGCCTACCCTTAATTGTTTTATTGTTATTGACGCGGAATTGCAGCTAATTTCTCGAAATGTGTCAAGATTGGGCGTCGATATTTAAAAAAACTCCATCTTTTATTTTTTTTAAACTTTCCTTGGCACTTTGCAGTGACTTGAACTAACTTGTCATGGCAAAACATTGAGTAACATATGACCTCCAAACGGGAAAAGCTACGGCAAACCTTTACGCGGAGCGAGTTGACGTCTTCGTCATAGCGGCTTTGCCGCACAGCACCAAACATTTTGAGCGTTAGTTATGGCATGTATTTTATATATTTCAAATTGTTTTTTTTTCAGAAGGGGTTAGTATAGCTGACATGAAAATATACCTTGGGCTGGAATATCATTACTTAGCTTACAATTCACTAAAAGAAAACGGCCCCACTTTGGAAATTTGCTAACTATGCATACCTAAGATTAAAACTCTCAGTTGCGCAAGTGGCCATGTATACATCCGGCCTCTTAGCATATGATGACTTCCACAGATGAGACGCCTGGATTCCTCTCACAGGTTTTACGGTGGCCCACTCTACTTGCTTCACCACACGAAACTCTCGAACCCGTTCCGCAGACAGGTGGAACATGCAGACATTTGTTACTGTTTCACGCAGCACTTCCACAAAGTCTTTAGAGGTGACAATCGTTGAGTTGAGCGAAGATCTCAAGTTGGTGAGCGTTGCGTGGTGTTTAAGAACACCACCTACTCCATTACAAGCGCTTTTTCCGTGTCCAGTGGCTGAACAGATCCATCTTGCCGAAGAGTACGGCTTCCGAGATAATTCGTGCAATTGGAAGCGATTCTTGAAATGCACCGCCGCTCCGTCTGATACAAAAATTATTTCAGAAAGAAGCGGGTAATGTTCATCGACATACTCTTCTATGGCCTTTGTGGCTAGAAGAGCGTGAGCTGTATCATGTGTCGTGTCATCGCTGAGAGCGGTAAAGCTTTGCGTGCCTTGCGTGGACGTAACCGCACATGTGAAGAGAGACACTTGAGTTTTTTTCCAATGAAAACTCTGACTTCCGTCGGGAAGATGACTGTCCAATTTTCCGCAAACTCGAATTGGAACATCACTACCTTGGGTGGTGAGGCGGTCCTTCTTTCACGTATCAGGCTCCGTTGAAGGTCACGGATGTAAGAATACCTCATATACTTTTCGCTCCATGACTCCAGTTCCTTTAGGTAGGCGGAAGTGTCCATAACCTTTTTGACGAGTTCGCCGGCGTTTCATAACGCGAAACAGATCTCTTCGTCGAGATGGTGCGACTGCAGCGAGATTCTCTGCATTTTTGGGGCACTTTTTGCAACGGCGCAGGAAGCAATCGTTTTGTGGAGCGCTGCAGAGGTAGATGCGCTTGAAGTAGTCTTCAGTAAATGTCTCCTGTGAGGCATTTGTTATTGCCGTTAAAAGCAACTGAAAATTGACGCAATATATGCAAGAGCACACCTCATGCTCGGGACTCTTTTTTACCCATTTTCGTCGTAGGGAATAAAACTTAGAGATGCCTAGTTCTCGATTGGGATGGTCCTTTGTAAACAGCTGGTAAGCTTCCTTAATAGAGCGGGTCATAAACCTTTTTACGACTTTGATCTTGTTGTCGTTTATCATAGCTTTGACGACGTCCTTTTTGTTGGGTCTTTGAATAGAGCATGCGAGGTCGTCGCGTGTGTAATACTCAAGTGCAACTCTCACGTCTTCGGCATTCGCCTTTTTCCCCCTGTAGGGATCAGGGGTTGCCCATACACCACCTTTACGCTTCAGTTTTCTCTCGTTTGATCAATCACGTTGGCAGTCGCTTCTGCTACCAGACGCAATATTTTTTTCTTCGAGATGCTTGGTGGCAGAAGCGTGTACAATCGCTTGCGTTCCTGGTGGGAACTGCATGCCTATAGGGCTTCGCGGAACGCGTCAAACCACTCCGCGCAGTGCTCACATCTGTCTTCGCCGGTTTTCATGCCATAAACGCCTGAAAGCTTTCTTCTAATCGAAGAACTCACTTGAGCTTGTTTTTTCTTCAAATATGCTTCGAGGCTTTTTTTTAAATTGCTTTCTGTGGCTTCAATGGAGTTACCGACGGACTAGCAGCACATAATTCTTGACTCACTTCAGCCAGAATTTCATCAGAGTCCCAGAAAGAAGAGTCTCATGTACTCACGTTGTGAGGAGAAGCAATCTCATTCTGGAGGTATTTGTAGCAATGTTGGCATAAAAGGTCAGATTCGTTCACTGTCCGTGGAGCCAGTAGCTTTTCCAACCGCACTTTGTTGAGTCTTCCCGCCGATACGAGGTGCTTATCGCTATACACTTTCTTCTTGTGTCTCCGTAGATAGTCCACACAGAACAATCGCACGGTGCTGAATCGTTGGGCCATGGCTGTTCCATTTGACACTAGACTCTTACTCGCTTCGTAAATGACAGAACTTGAAACGTCCTCGCAAACGCCTATTTGAGAGGTTCTGAATTCCTCTCTCCCGGCTCCGAATATCCGGTCAAAGTTCCGAAAGAAAATGTCCTTGTGGTTATCAACTTCTGTCTTCCCTTGTAGATATAATCGGTGCGTCGCGCATGTTTAAGCTGGTGTTGTTTGTTTCTAGTTCCACTTATTGAGCACCAGAGACACCGAGTTTCCTGTAAGCATAGCGATAGTCGTCCGTATTTTTTTTTTACCTTGTAAAAGTTTTTTTTTTTGTTGTAATGTTTTTAGGGTTTTCGGTCTTGGAGTGTAGTTTATGTGTGTGTGTGTGCGTGTGTGTGTGTGCGCGTGTGTGCGTCTTGGGAAGGGGGATTACGGCAGTAAAATGCAAGAGGGAGTTAGGGGTTCGGTCTCGGTCGGTTCGCATAGCCTGGTGCAACCCATTTGTTCGGGTCCTTGGGAGAGGTGCCCGTTCCCGTTACTGTCCTTAACCTTGGAGTGATTTAGTTTGTCTGGTTAGGTTCGGTCAAGTCTTTGCGGTCGCATGTCTTGATCTTCCCTATTTTATTTCTTTCCGCGTGGACATGCATTTATTGTCGTTCTTCTTGTGAATAAGTTCAGCTGCGTTTGAGAGTTCGTTTTGCACTGTCCGTTATTTTTGTTTTTCCTCGTCTCTGGGTTTAGATTGAAATGTTTCCTGACCAACTGACATGCATAT